TGCTTGATATAGTATAACACAGAGAAGTCAAACTGTACCTCATATAAGTCCCCAGTGGTACAATATACTAGCCCATTTAATTGGTGAAAACAACCCAGTAGTTAGAACTTCCTCCACTCCTTACAGCATGCAACTATATATATTTAAAATTACATGTCAACCACAACCACAACCCAACCAACCCTCTTGAGACTCATATATATCCTAGATATCATTGCTATAAAATCCCAACAATATCCGTTATATCAGTTCATTGAATTTGCAAAAATAACTGGCCTTTCCGTCTCCCTTCCTTTCCTTCCGGACAACATACACATTAATAATGTTTATGTTCATGATGCCCCTTAGAATTAAACCCTAGCATAAACCAACTGTTTAAAGGTTCCAATAGGTAAATTTTTAAGTATTTAGAACCCCCTTTATTTTCCAGAAACTCTGTTTAAGGCCCCAAGGTCAAAATAAATACCGAAAATACCCCCGAAGGGTATCTGTTCAAGGGAACCGGCTCCCCCCCATGGGAGCCGGCTCTTTATCTTCCAGAGCCGGCTCTCCCTCATGGAGAGCTGGCTCTACTTTAATGGGAGCCAGCTCCCTCACTTAGGGAGCCGGCTCTCTCCCCCTGAGAGCCGTCTCTACTCCATGCGTCTTCTCTACTTCGTCCGGTTGCTTTCTGCGCTTCCGGCGAAGCTTCCAGTCCCTGTCCCAACACTTTTAACATCCTTAGGGTCTAATTTAAATCTAAACAGTCCTAAAAACTCCTCACATTCCATTAGGAATTAAATTATAGAAGTTCAATACATAACCAAAATAGTTTATGCGTGAACCGATTTCAGTTATTTAAAACCGGCAAAATTTCAAGTCTCTGTCCGAATTGTTTTTAAACTTCTTAGGGTCTACTTTAAATCCAAATAGTCCTAGAAACTCTTTAAAACCCTTATGAATTGATTAACAAAAACGTAACACACTCGGAACAGTTTTAAGACCAAACCGGTTACAGTTTAAACAAAGGCAAACAACGGATTACAGTGTGATTAAATTATGCATAACACGTCCATTTTTAATGTTTAATTAATGTCCTGGAGTCTATTTAGAATGTACAGAACACAAGTTTACAGGAAAGAGATAGACTGAAACTTGCCTTGAGATTTCGGTCTGAAACCTTAAGCGTCGTCTCTAAGTTTAAGTTTCAGGATTCTCCAAGTCTGTTTCCCTCTGCTCTACTCACCGTTCCATCCATAAGCAACCCCTCTGTTCTTCCTCCGGTCTTCCTCCTTTAGCCTCCCAGATTATATTCCGAAACTCTCTCTGTTTTCTTCTAAAAATACTATTTCGTGAATAGGATTTTTTTTTTTTTTTTTTTTTTCTAACAGACGTAAAAGAACACACATATATATAGCCATCTATAACACCCAAACCCTATTTCCAATCCTAACATAGGACGGCTAAAACTCACAAAAGAAAACCCTAAATTTACACTCTATATAAAACCAAAAACAAAATAATCCATTTAAACCATAAATTAATCAAATAATTAAATTAACTCACAAATAAAACAATTACAGTTAAAACCACAAACTATCAGATAATTTAAATTAAAACAATTTCAATTCAATAATTAAATTAAACACATAAATAATAATTATGCAATTTAAATTAAATACACACAACTTATAATCAAGCAACCTAGCAAATACACATAAAATAAAGTTCCCATATAAAACAATCAATTTAAACACCTAAGTTATATAATCAAATAAAAAATAAAATAAAAACCAAAATGCAAAATTAAATTCCCATTTTGTCCTTTTGAAAACTAGGGGTATTACAATGTATGATTCATTTCATAGTTAATTGTAAAGTTTGGTACATGGTTAAATTGGAGGCATGGATGAGTTGCTAAAAGTATAAATAAATTGTCTTATTAATTGTATGAATAAAATAGATACATAGGAAGCATGGATGAATTGTTAATTAATAGTATGGATAAAAACATACTTTTGGAGGCATGAATGAATTACCAAGACATAAACAGATTGTCATTTAACAGGCATGGTTGATTTACCAAAGTATAAATAAATTACTTGTGGAGGCATGGTTGAGTTGTTATAGTATAAATAAACATACTTCTAGGGGCATGGTTGATTTGCCAAAACATAAATAAATATTTGTGGAGGTATGGATGAGTTGTCAAATTATAAATAAATTGTTAGGTAAGTCAGATGATTAAATATACATCTATGGATATTGTGTTTATAAGTTGAAAGTGATAATTATTCTTATATTAGAATAAACTAATGTTTAAAAGATAATATATTATTTTATAATATTAATAAAATAATATTAGCGAAGGCATGGAGGAGTTGCCAAAGTATAGATCTTTGCTACATAATCTTTATAAATAAAATTATACATTGGTGGATATTGGGATTTGGATTAAAGGAAAATATTTCTTGGATTATTATTTATTATTTAAATGATTAAATAACTGTTTAAATATGAAATTTAGGTTTAAAAGAGTTTTTTCTTAAAAGTGGAATGTACTTGATGGTTAGTTTAAATATGGAGGTAATCTTATCATTATTTATGATCTTGGATTTCAAGAAATATATGAATGAACATGTTCTTTATATATTATATATGTATCATCTTATATTAAAGGTTAAAACTTTACTTAGAATGATTTTGATTAGAGATGTTTTATTTATTGGTTTTCAGAGGCTTGGTAGAGAGAACTTGCTCGTGAGTCTAACCCACGATTTATTTTTCAGGTTATTAGAAGTTCCAGTCTCGAGGTTGAGGATCCGCAACTGAGAGATTGTCATTCATCTACTCATCTTGTTTACTTTTTAGTATTGTTATTTATTGTTAGATATCTGGTGAATTAATAGTTTATGGTTTAGGGGTCCTTGACTTATAGGATTCTCGAGTTGTATTTTAGAATTTTAAATTCATGGAATTTATTTTTGTTAAGGAGGTTTTATTTTATTAATAGAACTTCGTTCAGCGATTTATTCATTCTTTTTATTTTTCTTGTATTCTGTGTTCGTTTAAATACTAAATTGTTTTGATATTCCCGTGTTTTCAGGTGTGGACCTGGCCAGCCTACACGTGAAAATTCGGGGGTATCATAGTTAAAATGACCCCTCATGATACTTGAGGGGAATTTTTTGCTAAAAATATTTATAAGGGGTGTTTTTGCAATTGAGTAGGTCGAGGGGAATTTTTTGATATTTACTCTTAAAAATAATGCCGTGTTTTGAAAATCATAATAAATATTTGGTAGCGTTGCATTTATACACGCATATACATGCATGAGCGTGTGAGTATATTTTATATTTTTCATTTATTTATTCTTTTATGTGTTATGATTATTGATTGTTGCTGCTTGTAAAGATACATTGACTTGTGATATATCATGATTTTTGTAAATAAATGTCATGGAGTGGAGTTCTAAAGTGGGCTTATGTTGATATTCACTTCTCGACTTTGATCTCTTGATAGGTTTGAGGAAAAAAAAAAAATTTGATATCTTAAGTCTTAACCAAACTACTTTTAGTCTCTTGGTGTCTGAGTTATAATAAAAGTGTTGACTTTATTAATAAAACAGCTAATATTATTTTTGATAAGATTTAAATCAATTTCATTGAGAACTCAAAATTTTAAATTAAGAAGGTGTGTTATGACTAGTAGTAGTTGATTTTTTTTTTTCAAAAACAGAAAAGGTATATATGAGTTAAAAGGATCCAAATAGCTGTAAGAATTTATATATAACAAATTTGAAGCCATTCGTCATGTATAAATTATTTGACAAAGTACTCCATGCCAAATAAGTTTTACTCTCTTGCGTCCTCGTCAGCTTCTAAATTTTCCGTCCCACGATAATCCAAGAGCTATTTTTTAGTCTGTTGGCGTTTGGAGGTCCAGTAGAAATGTTACTTTATGAATAAAATAGCTAACAGTATTTTTGATAAGATTAAAATCAATTTCATTGAGAACTCAAAATTTTATATTAAGAAGGTGTGTTATGACTAGTAAAAAAAAAATTGATCTTTTTTTTTTTTTTTTTTTTTTTTTTTTTTAAAGAAAAGGTATATATGAGTTAAAAGTATCCAAATAGGCGTAAGAATTTATACATGTCAAATTTGAAGCCATTTGTCATATAGCCAAATAAGTTTTACATCCTCTTCAGCTTCTAAATTCTCCGTCGCACAGTTGACCAAACCTCTAGGTAAAGCTCAATAACACATTTACCATAAAATAATTAAAAATAATTTTACAAAATCACATCTTACTACGTTTGTATGAAAGGGTAAATCTATCATGGCATCATCATCTTCCATTCACATAAAAGAGTCTGGACTCTCGAATTACTTCTCATTTTTCTTGGATATCAAATTTTTTTTTTTTTTTTTTTTTAAGACTCGAACATGAGCACATTTACTAAAAAAAATTGGGACTTTGCCAACTAAATCACTAATTAATAGTCAAAATATAATTATTCTTAAAAGGTGGGAATTACGCCAAGATGTTTGAGGAGTACAAAGCGAACTATTTTCCACGCTTTCTTTAGGCCTATTTTTGGTGTGCTGTTTCCTCTCTGGAAACTGGCTCTCCAAAGAAATAATAATAATAATAAATAAATAAATAAATTTGGGGACGTGTGTTTGGAATAAGGTCTTATCTAAAAGGTTGGAACAGACATTGTGCAACATAAAAAAATGTACAATTTTTGGCCAAAGAATCAAAGATGGAGAGTGCATATATGATATTATAACATATACCATCCAAATGTACAACTAAACATTTCCGGATTCTCATATGAATCTTTTTAAAATAAGTAGTCCAGCTGCTATAGATATATAGCAGCCAAACTATTGGTAGATTATTTCAATGCTTAACCTTACTAAACTCCAAACCATTGTTCCTCATTATATTGCAAAGCCCACTAAGTTTTCTTAAAAACTTCCTCTCTCTCTCTCTTTCTTTCTTTCTTTCTCTCCCTAGAGATGAATCTGAATCCCGCCTTGCCGCCGGGACTCCTGCCGGACGAATCATCACCTCCATGGCTGAACAAAGCAGACAATGCATGGGAATTGACGGCGGCGACTATGGTGGGCCTGCAGAGTGTTCCTGGGCTTGTGATTCTTTACGGTAGCATGGTGAAGAAGAAATGGGCCGTCAATTCGGCCTTCATGGCCCTCTACGCCTTTGCGGCGGTCCTGATATGCTGGGTCCTTTGGGCCCACCAAATGTCGTTCGGGTCCAAGCTTGCTCCAATATTGGGCAAGCCCGATGATGCCCTGACCCAGAAATTTCTGCTGGGCCAACTTATGCTGGGAGAACATGAGTATTACATGCCACAGGCCAACTTTGTGTTTTACCAATTCGCATTTGCAGCAATAACTGTGATATTGCTGGGTGGTTCAGTGCTTGGGAGGATGAATTTTTATGCTTGGATACTGTTTGTTCCCCTGTGGCTGACCTTATCGTACACCGTTGGGGCCTACACGATCTGGGGCTCTGGATTTCTTGAAGAACTTGGAATCATTGACTTCTCCGGTGGTTATGTGATTCATCTTTCTTCTGGGGTGGCTGGTTTCACCGCTGCTTATTGGGTAATTTGATACGTTCACCTAATCCTTTTGTAAGTCTTAAATCACCACCATTTAAATTGTTGATTAACTTAGAGGGGAAAAAAAAATAATACCAGCCTCTGACAACTTAACGGGTTGAACTTTGGATATACTTTTCTTAGTAATCTAATTAGGTGAGTTCTGAACTTAAATGGTGCGTATAATTTAGGTTCAATTGCTACATTTAAAATGAATAATTTTTCTTGTGGTTGAGCACAGTGGTTGGACCCGCTATCTAGATCCCACCATGAACGTCTATGGTAGTAGTAGCATAATTCATGTGAAATTTACGACCCAATAAAATATATACTCTCCATTAAAAACAAAAAAGAGTATCTCTTTTGAAAAATTGTAACTCTTCAATTTGAGAGAGTCACAATTCTCTAAAAAAAAAAAAAAAAAAAAGACATACATTCATTTTGGGACAAAGAGCATGTAAACTATATAAACTTATAACTTAGCATCCTCGGAATCCATGTGGTGGGACTCAGACTGAATCCAAGCACTTAACATCGTGCAGGTACAAAGGTTTCGCCTAAGTATAATTTTTTATAAATAAAACCTTCTACTCAAAGGTCAATCCAACTTGAATCCAAATCACATTCGGATCTTTAAACTCGGGTTTAGTTCAGGATAGGCTTGGATTACTTGTGCAACCTCTGCACCTCAATTTTCAAGATATTAAAATATGAATAAAATGTGGAAATTCCATGTAGTTTGAAAGTGTAAAAGTATATAAATTAAAGCTTATATTAATCCCATGTGTATATATAAACTTAGGTTAGAATTGATTTGATTCTGATGCACCACTTCAGTTTAGACTTTGAACTATGTTTGATCTATCAGGGTCCTCTGTTGTATAGTATGGATGTTGTACATTGTTGTGCGTTGTAGATTACTGTACAATATCCATGTTGTAGGGCATGAAATCCCAAATCTTGTCCCATACTTGAATCCAGTTTAACTTGAATTTAACCTAATCAGATTGAGAGAGATGTGACGATGTTTTCTTATATATGAGTAGGTGGGACCGAGGCTTTCAGAGGATAGGCTGAAGTTCCCTCCAAACAACATAATTCACATGTTGGCAGGTGCAGGGTTTCTGTGGCTGGGTTGGACAGGCTTCAACGGTGGATCTCCATATTCAGCCGGCTTAATCACATCACTAGCCATTCTCAACACCCATCTCTGCACTGCCACAAGCCTCTTGGTCTGGCTTTCTATGGACATGATCTTCTACAAGAGAAGCTCTGTCATTGGCGCTGTACAAGGAATGATCACCGGACTCGTCTGCATTACACCCGGTGCAGGGGTGGTGGAGCCATGGGCTGCAATCTTAATGGGAATAGCTTCTGGCACCATACCTTGGTACACCATGATGGTTCTGCACAGGAGATCAGCATTCTTCCAGAAGGTCGACGACACGTTGGGTGTCTTCCATACCCACGCCGTTGCTGGCTTTTTGGGGGGAATGCTTTCCGGCATCTTTGCCAAACCCAAGCTACTGACGTTGTTTTACGGCTCAGAGAAGTATGGTCCAGGGCTTTTTTACGGCCTAATCCACAATGACATCCCACGCGGTCTCAACCAAATGAAAAAACAGCTCTTGGGAGCTGTTTTTATCACTGCATGGAATGTTATAGTGACGAGCTTTATCTGCATTTTTATCAACCGCATAGTTGACCTCAGGATGAACGAAGATGATCTTAAGATCGGCGATGATGCAGTCCACGGCGAGGAAGCCTATGCATTATGGGGAGATGGAGAGAGGCATCATCCTCTCTTACGTTTTAGCACCCTCAGCACCCCAAAACTCCGTTCCTTCTGCAGCCTTCACTGAATGTGTTTGGCATTGTTAACATAGCTTAGCAATAAGTTTTATTGCGAGTAAATACAACGCTACGCTATTTTCCATTAAACTCTCTGTTTGCAGGTATTTATTTCGGATGTGTGTCGGATCCAAGGTTGAGCAGGTATTCGGGTACATGAGCACGCATTCGGGTACAAACCCTTTTGCTACCGGAATGCAAACGGTGGTGATGGTGAAGAGCAGAGCTGCGTTATGGCTCTAATTTGTTTTCAACAGATCTGTTGGAATGCGTGTTAATGACAAAATTACGTGAAAACAAGAAGGATATGTCAAGATTGTTTTGGTTCAACCGACAAGTACTGTTCCTACTTCTAATCTTCAAATCATATACAACTCCAAACATTAGACGTGTTTATAGGATTTCAATAAAGTGGCAGTGGCTTCTGTATCAGAACAAACAAGACATGAGCTACTTGAAGAAATTTCTTTTGAAAAAAGGTCTAAAATTTCCTCCTTTTTTCATTTCACAATATTCCATGGAGATTCGCATAAGAGGATTTATAATTGAAATGAAAGAAAATGATACATTGTGTATGCTGAAAAATTGATTTAGAGAAACAGCCAACAAATTCAACCACGTATAACTTGACTAAAGTTGCAAGGGCACATCAAACTTGTGGCGCACACCAGTAAACTCGTGTCCACAAGACGCGCACACCAGTAAACTTGTGTGTCCACAAGACAAGCATATCAGTTTGCAAGTTCATTATAGATGCAGTATTTCTATCTTCTACTTGCATGCAGAAACAGTAAAGCTTCAGAATTGCTACGACAGTTCGGCTTTGAACCATCAACCCAGACGGTGGAAACTGGAACCTTTAGGTTCAATTCCTAAAGGTTCAGCAGTAGAAGAATGGAACTGTAGCAACAATAAATAGATATGTAATTGAATAAGGTTCAGTCAGATGGGAGTCTCACACCAACTACAAAATATAAAAAAGCCAATCCACTCAAACCAATAATTCTTTGTTCGTAAGCAACTGCAAAACATAACGTGCAGCACACATTACATTTAACAGGATGGACAGCCTACACAAGTGTCTTACCGTAAACAAGATGACACCACTCAATAATGTCTAGTCCAAACCAAAGATCATCATATTACCTAAACAGAACTTCACATATTGTCTACATCCCACTTAAACAGAGCCTTACCTAGAACGATGAGCATAGCTCCTCTCTGGACTACCATAAGGAGAATATGGAAGTGACCTTGACCGGTCCCTTCTTGATCTCCCACCATAAGGGGAACGCCTGGGAGAGTAATCACGACTACCCCGATAAGGTGAACGCCTAGGAGACCTGCGGTACCCATAATCTTCACGGCCATAACCTCCACGATATCTACCACGGTCACCACGGTCACCGCGATAACCTTTCGCCAAATCAAAATAATATACAATTAATTAAATTGCAAAATGCCAATGAAGTATAAACAAAACAACCCATACAAAGGAAACAATCATGTGCAAACTTACCATGGTCCCTAGTGCTTTTCAGCCCAAGATAGTGACCAGGTGTGGGAGTCCTCGGGCGTTTCCTCCGGGACTGAAAAATAAATTAAAAGACTCAAATTCTACCAATTCTGAATATATTATTCAGCTTCAAAAAGTAGCAGATACAATTTATGAATGGCATATATCCCATGAGACAACACTACTACAAATTCTAGATATTATGGAAACTTTGTGTGAGCAAACCTCAATAACAATGAAACAAGTGGCTATGAGAAAAAAGTACAACATATTGAGGCATACATATGACTAGTATCCATTTAATGAATGCTAGGTATGAGGTACCATAAATGCTTGATTAGATTGTTGTTGGTAATGTCCGTTGATTAGTTGAGAGTTGAAAGTATTTGCTGAGGTTGTATAGTTGTTGGGCAATATAGTTGCTATGTTTAGTTGATCAGATGCATGTGATAAGCTGTTTTAGCTGGCCATTGATCAAGCTGTTTCACTTAAGTGTTGACATGGATGAACTCATCTTTGATTGCTGCCAACATAGCTGACACAATATCTTCTGAATATAACCAGAAACCTCCAAGTCAAGAAGAAAGATAACCAACCAAAATAGTTATTCTATATCACCGAAGGCACAATCACTTACCTTCTCCACTGTTATGTATCGGCCTTCTAGAACAGACTGATTGAGATGTTTAACACAACGATTTGCATCATCAACATTGTCCATCGTAACAAAAGCAAAACCACGAGAGATGCGCGTACGAGGCTCCACAACCAGAAAACATGAAGCTACCTATAAGAAAAAGAAGCAGCATTATGCGCGGCAATCAATTATACCTATTTTTAACACCAAAAGAAGATCAAAAACAGTTATAGAAAATTTGGTGAAGACGCATTCTATAACTGCCCAATATTATTAGCATTTGGGGTAAAAAAATGAATGAGGACTATCCATATCTTTTATAAGAAGTCGTTAATCATATAATATGTGTCTAATGCAACAGCAAAGATATACTATGCTTTGTAATTTACACAAAAGCCCCCATTAACGCAAGACTATAGATAATCTTACCTTTCCCTCCCTGGAGAAATCTATCCATTATCTTTTATAGGAAGTGATTATATGTGCTTCACTCATCCCAAACTATTATTATTTCAATGATGACAACGATTAGAACCCACATCGTTGCAATCATATAATACTACGTCTGTAATGCAAAGAGCAAAGATACACAATACTGTGCAATTTCCAGCAAATCCCACATTAACGCATGATAATAGATCATCCTACCTTTCCCTCCCTGGAGAAGTGATCTTGAAGATCTCTTTCAGTAACCCTTGTAGATAGGCCAGTCACATATAGTGTATTCCCAGGATTAATAACCTCAGGCCTGCCACATCAATCAAAGGATTTGACAAAAGAATCCAAACCACATTATCCATGAAGCAATATGGAAGAGTCACTGTTATCATCCTGCTATAGTTAAAAAAAAAAAATAAACAACAAACCTGCCACGGCTTCTGGACCTTGATCTAGAGCGCGACCTTCCCCTGGGTTTTGACCAGGATCTGGATCTGGATCTAGATCTGGATCGGGATTGTTCTCTATAAGGGGATGGAGACAGTGAATACCTGATATATAATGGAAGGTAAAAAACAAAAACAGAATTAAGAGTCCAACAGTGTTGATAAAATTATTCAACCACAAAGAATCAACAAATGCCGTAGGCAAACCATAAAAAAATGTTTATACTTTAAAAAAGAAAAGTACCCTACATAATTGTAATTTCCAGCATCTGCTGAACCAAAACCTAGGACATAAATCTTTCTTTTCAATTTCACTGCTATTTGTTTCTTTCAGTAAAAGCTCACTATATTATTTCACTATATTAACTTCTCAAGATAGATCTTATGGAAGACCTCTCAAAATCTCTTTAGAGTCACTTCACATTAAAGATATCCTCACAATGCATTCCATCAATTCTAACTCCTACCCTCTAGAACTGATGGACCATTGGGAATGAGAAGAGTGGAAGGAAATAGAAGAGGCAAATGTGGAGAGATCGATGTGCTTTTTATTGTGGAGAAGAAAAGACTGAGACCTTTCCCTCCACAGCCACCAAAAACTTTCCTTCCATAATGTGGGACGAAAGGTAGGTGAGGGATCCACATACTTTTGCACATTTTCGCTTTTCATGCGAGAAAAAAGGAAAATTTCTTGATATGAAAGGCATAGTGCTAAAATAGTTTCATTTCTCTAGAGACACTTTTCCATCACTCCTAATTTTCCTTCTTTCCAGCCTTCCATCCCTCCTACAAGGAACCGCAACATGAAAATTCACAAGGATTTAGCTAACAAGGAGATTAAATTAATCAGTATTTGTCTCTACAAGCTCCTTTCTTTTCTTATTTTCTTATAATGACGACAGATGATTGAATCATTCTTTTAACTAGTATAATGATGACTCACTGATTATTGTATATCACTGCAATTTATATGTTTCTGCAACATATCTCGGTCATGATCGATACATCAAAAAATTACTCCCGCCTCCCAAAGTTAATTTCACAATTACCACATCCCCAATAAGCATTTTTTAACCACCACTGTCCAAGATTCACCATATATGTATTTCAACACCCAATCCTCACCTCCTATTATGTCTCTCTATGAGAATACAAAATAAAAATTCATACTAATATTTTTTTTAGGTCAAATTGCACTAAACCCCGATTACCTCTGTGCTATCAAAAAGTTTGCAAAATACCCCCTCTACAATTTTTTGTGGCACCAAACACCCTCAATTTACACCAAAAAAAAAAGTGAAAATTTCCAAATTTGAACTTTTTCATTCTAAGCAAGCATGATTCCCACCCAATTCCAATTGAAATTTTTGGTGTTAAAAGTGGTCAGGTGCAACACACGTGACACATGAGCTAATTGTTTGGACTAAAATATCATTACACAGCCCATTTTACCCTTTACAATTGATTTTAAAAATGTGAAATTAAAGATGTTTGTTGCATTCGTAGGGATATTTTTGTGAAAACAATCAGCCCATGTATCACGTTCGTTGCACCCGACCACTTCAACACCAAAAATTTCAATTTTCATATGAAAGGAACCAAGATAAGAAAATTAACAAGGATTAAGTTAAACAACAAGATTAACAAGCAGTATTTGCCATTACAAGCTCCTTTCTTTTTGTTATAATGATGACTGATGACTCCAATCATTCTTCTAATTAGTATGATGAAGGCTTAATGATTATTATATATCACTAAATACAATTTAAATGTTTCTTGGATATGTCTAAGAACGTCAAAAAATTACTCCAGCCTCCCAAAGTTAATTTCTTGTTCTAATTACCACATCCCCATTAAGCAATTTTTTAACCACTGTTGTCCAAGATTCACCACATGTATTTCAAAAGTCAGTCCTCACCCTCCTATTTTGTCTATCTGACAACTTTGTCAGTCTACAAGCAAAGCATTCGTGTCTGTATCCTTGAGTTCTAATGTTATACTACATCCAAAGTTCAACCCTATTCAAAATAAGATCAATTAAAATTTCCAAATAAAAACTCGATTCTAATTTTTTTTAATAACAAAAACAGGTGAGACGGTAGAGAATTTCTTCTCCTAATCCCTCCAATCACGCAATTATTAACAACTCCAATCCCTGAATGAACAAATAAGACCAGCTCAAACCCTTATGCGCCATCCATTGGGACGGTTAGGGTTTTTTTTTATTACTATTCGGATGAGAATAACAAAGCGAATCTAAAGATTTCAATCCAAGAGGGAAAATATCATATAGTATAACAATTGAAACCCCTAACAAATTGTATAAAATAAATGCAAATATGCGCACATAAATTATTAGGGTTTACCTTTTGCGAGGGGAATCAGCCTGCGAAGAATGATAACGCATTAGAACAAAATGATTTCTAGATCTAAAACACATTGCGCAAAGAAATCGCAGTGAAACATATACATTTATTTATACATAGATATATGAAAAATGAAAGAGAGAGCTTACCATTGTTTCGCAAACACGAAGAACCCTAGACGCGAGCAGAGGAATAAAGGCTTTGCAAATTGAGCGTTTCGGTGGGTGTGGTGGGGCTTATATTCTTGTCACGACCTAAAGGGTATAATGGGAAATCCGATTTCACGTTCTTTAGAGTTATTAAGTTGGGCCGGATAGCATGCTGAATGCCTTCTTTTTTTTCTTCTTTTTTTTTTTTTTTTTTTGGCAAGTAAATTAGCAAATTTTGCTCCTTTTAAATGGAGTATGCAACACATTACATTAAAAATATATAATATCAATACAAAGGTGTTATATTTTTTGGAGTACAATTATTGTATTTTTGCATCTCAATATAATTTATTATTAATCTTAAATTAAATGTGTTATACAAAGGTTTTGCATCAATTATATAGAGGTATTACGTACACCCTTGATTGTAATTGTGTTTCATTCATTTGTTTTTTCTATTTAAAATGCAATTCAAAGTCCAGTACAAATCTTTGTGTTTGAGAGGATTATTAGAAATTTTTTTTTTTTCTTATTTAAGTTAAAACAAATACACATCAATTATCCATAATATGTTGTTAGTGAGATTCAAACTCTCAACCTCTCATTTGAAGAGAGGAGAGAGATCACACCATTAAGAGGATCTTGATTTATTCTGATGGAACACAATTTATTGTGTTTGTTAAGGGAAAAAAGGAATAGAGAATTTTAAATTATTTTTTTCATTATACCCCTTACCATTTATAGTATTTTAATTTATAGAGCAAATTTGGTCCACCTAATTGTATATATTATTATTAACCTTCACCTTCATATTATTATAGTTAAAAACTTACCTAATAGTCACATTTGTCTTCTCCCATATTAAGAGAGATAAAAATTTATAAAGGAGATCTCCTATTAATCCTATTATCCTTTTTCACATTTGTCTTCTCCCATATTAAGAGAGAGAAAATTGGGAAGCGCTTACTTTACTACACAGTGATTGAGTTAATTAAACATGTATGGATTTACATCGGCACATTTTTTTTATCTGCAAATGCATAGTCTGCAGACTGGTGCAACCACTTCTTCCAGTTGAGAAGCACAATATAAAACATGTATCAATTCAAACCAAAATACTTACAAAATATCATTCGATTTCAATATTATTGTAATTTTATTACATATGTACCAACTGGCATACAATCCAAAATAACAAAACAACAAAAAAGACCTAATTACGTGAAAGATACACAAAACCATTTTCACTCTGTCCATCACTTGTGAACACAAAACGGGTGGAGACTATGTTGTTAAAATATCAGGAATTCTGGCCGAATGAGATCCTAATACTTTACCTCCAACATCTGGGAAAGTCTCGTGTCCAGGTAAAGGACCTACCTTCCCATCAGCATCTACCTGTATAGGGTACTTGAGAAGATGGCCTTCCAATGGTGTAAAAGTCTCGGTCGTGTATCTCTCCCAGTTCTTAACAGCCACCTCATTTACTCTCTTCACACACTCCAGTGTCCCTGGCTCCTCGAAGCATTCGTCTACCATCCCAAGGTTCACAGCCCACAATGACCTTCTATGTCCATAGATCTGCACACACGAATGTAAATGCTTACCACATAATGAAGGAAGCTTTTCAGTAGAATACAAGCCAAACAAGATCTTTTAAGTGATAGAATCCAAAATAAAGTTGAAATGATTACTTGAGTTTTATAATCATATCAAAATTAAAGAATGGTGTTATAGAAAGCATGTAATTGTTAAAGCAGTTATTTCAAATGTACTATCTGAGTAATTGATCTGAAGTTAAGATAGAAAATTGTATAAAAGCATATTTCAAATATAGTAAGCAAATTATAATCTTCAATAAGTGCAGAAATCGGTTTTGTTACAAGTCTGGACTTCCTAACAGGAATTCTAGTAGGCTTTCTTAATTTAAAAAATAATAATAATAAAAATAAAAATAAAAAAGGGATGGGGTAAACTATGGGATCCATTTAATATGCATTGCCACTTCTAGCCATGCAAGGTAGAGAAAAATGTTTAAGAAAACTTCAATTATAACCCACTATGGTTTTTTGCAAATTACAAATTTAAAAGAGTGAACATTTGTATCAATAACCTCTTCATGGTCAGCGGTACATAAAGAAGCCAAACAAAATTACAGATTTTCTAAAACAAAGAAGACATGCCAAAGGAGAACAAGTAACCAAACCTGGCCACGAGGGTGTCGCTTCTTTTCAGCCCAAGTGTGATGGGGCTGATATGCACCCATTGCTATTTCTGTGTCTTTTGTACCAGCTAAAGATCTTTGATTAATGTTGGCTGATCCTATTATTGTGTATTCATCATCAACTATCATTCCTTTAGCATGCACGTAAATCATAAACCGCTGAAATTTCCATGAATTTGAGACCTGATAGTACATTTGAGTTAATACCAACTGCATAAATTTCTAGCATATTATAATCAGAACTCATGCTACATATATAAACTCTTCCACTCATTGAAAAGTATGATTAAAGTACTATACTGCGTCCATAGCATGAATGGTAAGAACCCGGCAACATGGACATGTATATATTAACGACATTTACACAATAAAAGGAAAGTTAATACAAACAATCTGTAACATATATCTATAGAAAATACCTTTCCATCTGCAGAAATGGCCTCATAGTGGCGGAAAGAAAATAGACAGATGTGGCTTCTTAATGTAAAATATTATGTCAGAAACTGTATTTAGTTAATTTTCCAACTACTTTAGCCACTGAATAATTATATGTCCATTTCAAAATAGTGGCAGAATCAAATATAAAGGATCTACAGGCCTCAAATACCTTAGTTAAGCGAGTACGTAACTAAACTCAGCACCTTATGGGAGTTGGGCATGAAATAAGATAATGTGGTGTTTGCCAATATTAGATACCAACAAGAAAAGTCGATGACCTCTCTTCTTTTGCGCTTTTACGACCAGCAAAGATATAATAAACTACAAACAACTAAGTGCATAAATACTATATCTATATATATATATATATATATAAAAGTATACTTTTACTATTTACAGAGTAAATTGTGCCATGCCTTAAGCAAAAAAGGAAAGAAATAATAATCATATTAAACCTAAAACATGTGGAATAAGAATATGAAAATAAAAACATATTATTGCTGATTCCTTTGTTAGAGCATTACTGCTGTTACGGATTTGTACCTTTAAAAGGACATTATATACTGTCAGGTGCACCAATAAAGGACAATTGTTTTTAGTTCTGTTTGTATTTCATATTGTAATAGACTAAAATCAGTTGAAAAGAGATTTACGTTAGCGGAAGATTGATTAACTTCGCTCAACTTTTCCTCGGGCAATTTCTCTCGATTTCCAAGGCAATAAAAATTTAGGTAGTCCAGAGGATGAGAGTCCTCAAGCTGCAACGCTTTAAGCTCCCGTGCAACAACTGAATACATCATTCGTATCGTTTGGCCCTGTGAAAAAAGCCAACAGTCGAGTCATTAACAATAACTTCGTGTCTTGTCTATGTTATGTTTCTTGTATCTTTCTTTAAAATATTTCCAAATATCTAACCAATTATTTATGATATGATAATATATTATCAATTCAAATTGTAGACTTGTGATCGGTATAAACAAATTAAGCCAATTGAGCAGAAAAGTATCAATTAACACAGCACTGTTTGTTAAAAGTGGTAAAGAGAACATTATAAGCTGCTAGAGAGAGGGTGAATCACAAGACAAGTAAAATGTCTATTCGGAGTTATCATTTATTATAAAAAATAAAATAAAAAATAAAAAATAAAATAAAAACCCATATCTATATGATTCTGAAAAAATTAATTTGTTTCAAATTTATTTAGTTCATGAATACAAAGCCACGCTACCTGCCAAAAGAGAATTTCTTGCATGGTAGCAAAAGCCGGATGACCCTCAGGCCACATTGGTAAGACAACATACACAGCAAATCTCTCCTTAGCTCTAATTTTACTAGCGATTTTGAGTGCCAACTCCATTGGGACAAGATTATCAGCACCTAATCACAACAACATGGAAGCAATTAACCTCAGAAAACCCCCAAAAAAGGGGGAAAAAAGCATTATTGGATTAGTTTTTTCTAAAAATAGGTGCACAGAAAAGTTCTCAACGATCCTAAAACATGAAGAAAAAGAAAAATCATGGAAAAGGAACAAGCTGTAACTTTTATGTGAGGATCTTAATTAAGCTTAGGGAGCTATATGCAGTTGAATAAGCATTGGTCTAATTACAAAAACATGAAGAAAAAGAAAAATCATGGAAAAGATCCGTTCTCTGGTCCAACCATTTATTGAACAAAAACAGAAAATTTCTAGAAGCTAGCCTAGTTCCATACATAAATTTCTTCAAACAGAGATCCCAAGCATACATTCATTTGTAAGCAGTCAATGTTCCTCTTGCACAATAATTTATTGTAAATTTTGAGTACTGCAAATGTGGCATTGTATTGGGAGAATGTGATTCTGACCTGCATATTTATAGTCTGGCCATGCATATGATGATCCGATAAAATACTGGTTCTCAATGTATATGAAATGTTGAGCAGATCTGATTGCCTGGATATATGCTGTTTGAATGCTTTGATCTGTCATCAAATTTTTTGAACAGACAAGGTTCTACAGTAAAAAACCATGTCAGTGTACAAAGAAATACAGAGTATTAAGATAAACTAAAGTATCAATCAAAAGTCCTGTTATTACTTTGAAGCATTGGCAATTTCATCCCATAAAAACTGTGATATGTATGAAAAAAAATGAACAGGCACGCACAGAAACATACACATAGAAAAAGATAAAATGAAAATAAAAAGAGTTATTTAATCAACCTGGGCCACAGCAAGTTCAACGGTTTTGGGAAAGCCCTTCAGAGATCCTGAATCGATGGACCGAAAAAACTGTAAAAAATCACAGACACTTGTTAAGTTTTGGCAAAACAAGGGAATTTACAAGAGAGAGAGAGAGCAAGATACAACCTGAACATGCCAGTTTTCAGGATTATCTTCAGTGGAGACATATAATTGGGGATCATCCTG